TGGCCAATGTAACACTAATTGGAGTTCATACTCATGCCCTGAGGTGCTAAATAAAAAGCCCCAAGTGCCTTCTAAGCTGCCATAAAAGCTATAGTGTGCTCAGTAGTTTTCATGTTAGGTGTGCATGTTCTAATTTATTCTCTCATTCTTTTAACACATGTGTAAGACTTAGTGCAAATTCTTTGAGAGGAAGGCAATCCTATTTTTGGAAGAATAGCTAACAACTTTACCATTAAACTCATTTTGAAGACATAGAGTCTCTTGAATCTCCTCTTGATTCTTCTGCTCCTGCTCATTCAGCAGGCTCCTGCTTCCTGGCCTCACTCCCTGCTTTCCTTTCCGATCCACCTTCCTTTGCCCGCCCTAGGAATGCTGCGGTTTCCATTCCTCTGTCGGCTCTGCACACACTTCTACAGCAGTGTATTCCACGCCCATCAACTACCACCTAAGTGCTCAAACTCCACGGCTATGGAGTCAATTCTGACTCATTGGGACCCTCTAGAGCAGAATAGAACAGCCCCACTGGGTTTCTAATCTTTGCAGGACCAGAAAGCCTGCCTTCCTCTCACAGGCCAGATAGTGGTTTCAAACTGCTGACCTCGTGGTAAGGAGCCCGACACATAACCCACAATGCCACTAGGGCTTTTACCTCCGTGTTAAAAACCTCCAACTCCAGGTCTCTCATCTTAACCTGGCTCCTTGGGTTTGGACTAGAGATTCAACTGCCTGTGGGTGTATTGGCTGTCATACCGCATAGGAATTCAAACACTCCTAGCTCGTTCTTTCCCTCTTCGTGGGTCCCAGTTTGGATGAGTGATATCATGACCTACCCAGGTGCCTGAGGTCCCCATCGGTACCCTTTTACCTCTGCTACTGTGGCATTTTGTGTATATCCTGCATGGCGGCATGCAACATTGCAGCATATATACTTGCATGCCTGCTCTTGCATTGTAATGTAGACGCCTCGGAGACAAGCTATTTGGCTAGATGTTCATTTATTGAGCATGAATGGATGAACAGCTGATTAACCAGAGTATCTATAATTGCCCTGCATGCCGGGTATCAGCGCTTACAGTGTCTGCTTACTCGTTTCCTCCCACCCTAAAACAAGGCAGATGCTCTCGGGCTGGGCTGTATCGTCAGCTAGTCAAGTCCAGCCGCACCTTAAAGAAGCCCTTTGGGAAGTAAATTTTCAAAGCAATTTGGGAATTAATTCATCATGAAAATGAGAACCTTCCCTCCTTATCAGGGGCCTCAAAAATGCACATCCTATCTAACTCGCATTGTAAGACTTGTTAGAAACAAGACTTTAGTTAGTTAAAATTGCTCTGGTCATGACCAATGAAGCAAAGTCAGGTCAGACCTGACTTTTAAAAATTTGGGTGAAGTGGAATGAAAACTTGAACATGAAAAATTAAAGTTCAAACCCCTGAACTGGGAGACTTGGAAAAGGTATAGTGAACCCTTTAGGCCCCATAGAGCAATGCAATAAAGCTATTGCATTATTCCCAGGACGGTAGAGAGTGACCTAAGTTCAGCGTGATATGATCAGACCTCACCTTGGAGCAGGGTACTGTTGTTTCTCACTCTGCCAACCAAGAGCTTTGGTTGCTGTGCACCCTACATGCTGTCCTTGTTTTCTAAGAAGATTA